ATTCATGCTTCAGGGAGAGGCTGGTAAACAAAACACGAGAGTCCCTTTTTCAAGATTATATTTCTTTCCCCTGCCAAAGAAGCTACAACGAATGAATGGCCTTCTAATGCCTACCACAAGCAAGTAGTCTACACTCCTGAGCCCAGCACAGCCCAGGGAATAAACAGATAACCATAGTAATCACTCCCAAATAGTTGTGCTTAAAACCTTAAGTACTTTGGGAGGGCCCCTAAATCTAACACCATAAACTGCCCAACCTAGTCTAATCCCATAAATACTTGATTATTAGTATAGTGAAATATTTCCCAATGCAAATTTTAACCTTCCTGGAAGCTTCAACCACGTACTTTAAGTATGGGGTTATCTAATCTCATTCAACTTTTTCTTCTCCAACTTTTGAAATAAAAGCTCCTTATTTTCCACTCAGAAATCCTCAAGACTATAGGGAAAGGTTCCTTCACAAAGCCCTCAACTCCTGCTTGATAAAAACTGAAAAAGTCAGTATCCCCACATATTTACTCTATAAATAAAATATTTACACATGACTATTTCTGGTAGGGTATCCATCAAATGCTATCGACTGTCTTCATGTGGTTTAGTGGTCTGGGAAGGACAATCTTAATCCTCAGCTCTCCACCCTACCCTGAGTCATGGAATCATAGGCTCCAACCCCCTGATTTTACACATAAATGTGTAAACTGTTTTTGAAACCAAAGCCCCAAAGCAAAATGACTTGACTGAGGTCACCAAAATAGTGGCCAGCAGAACTGGATTAATTTTAACATTAGCCTATGTAGAATGCTAAAATGACAAATCTGATGTTTCAAAAACAAACAGGGGCAGCTAGGTGGCGCAGTGGATAGAGCACTAGCCCTGAAGTCAGGAGGACCTGAGTTCAAATCCAGACTCAGACCAAACACTTGACACTTACTAGCTGTATGACCCTGGGCAAGTCACTTAACCCCAATTACCTAAAACAAACAAACAAACAAAAGTCAAATAGAGTGAAAAGTTGCTTTGATATACAGGCTTATAAACCGAAATCACAATTTGCCCAGCCAAGGAGGCTCATACCTAACATTAGCTCTTTAAGTACAGATAAAGAGCATCTGGATAATTTTCTTGTACCCTGCGAATCACATGACTTCCTCAAGGTCAGTGAGTCAGTTGGCAGTTTTCTAAGATTAGACTATGGCTTTTCTATCTGAGGCTTTGTTCCAACCACTAAACCACTATCTCAGTTTCCAAATAGGTAAACTACTAGAAACAAGCATGTCTCAGAACTGACATTTACATCATCTATCACACAGGCTTGATCATTATCCAATGTCAGAGGGTATTAAAATTAACTTCTGGGTAAAACTAAAAGATTTTTCAAAAAGACCTTAAAAAACTTACAACACAGAATACTGCAGAACTTAAAATCACAGCGCTCAAGACACTGTCCATCCTACAAATGAGGAAGGCATGGTGACTTTGCCAAGGTCACTGGGTATTAGCAGTACATTCAGAATCTATGTGAAGGCCTCCTTTCCTTCTTCACTCCATAACCTCATCACCACGTGCACCTCTCCACAGTTGCCAATGATCTTCTTAACTGCCAAATCTAATTAATGGTTTTTCTCAGTCCTCCCCCTACTCGAGGACACTCTCTCCTCCAGCATACTCTCTTCTCTCTGGGTTCTCTCGTCCCACTCGTCTGACCAGCCTTCAGACCCCACATTGCTTTATCACCCATCATATACCCGCCCAACTGTGGGGACTGGCCAAGGTTCTGTGCTAGATCCTCTCCTCTTCTCCCACTACACTCTTGTTCAGTAATCACCTAAGATATGCCCACACATTTAACTATCTAAACCTACAGAGGTAGGCAAATGACTCACAGGTAAGTATATCCAGTCTCTCTCCTGGGCTTCAGTTCCACATCATCAACTGACTATTGGACATTTCAAACTGGATGCACCAGAGACATCTCAAATTCAATACGTCCAAAACAGAACTGCCCTCCTCTCTTCTGAACATCCCTACTTCTCTCAAGGATGCCAATATCCTATTCCCTGGCTTCATATCACCACCATTTGCCATGATTCTTCCCTTTCTGCCACATCGTTCGCATCTTGTCCCTTCATTCCAGGCACGGTGCTACCATCTTATAGCATCACTCAGGCATTAGTCACCCAGGTGACTTCAAACACCTTCCAGCTGGTCTTCTTACCCCAAGGTCCTCCCACTCCCCACTTCCCAGTATCCCACAGAATGCTGCCCAAGTAGGTAAGTAGGTTTCCTTACTGTAGATCTGACCACCTGACCTCCCTACTCCCAACAGTCCTCTATGGCCTCTAGGGTTAGATATAAACTCCTGGGTTTAGATTTTAGAGTCATTTACAATGTGGCCCCGGTCCACCTTTCAAGTCTCACTGGATATTACTTCTTCCCCCAGCTCCCCACACTCTGTAAGCCACCCAAAATGGCCTTCTCTCTGTTTCTGATACATATCCCTCCATCTCTGTCCCTCTTGCCTAGCACACATGCCCTCCTGGCTTCTATTTTAGGAGTCCCTCTCTCTTCATGCCACAGCTCAAACAAAACCTTTGTCATGAAGCTTTTCCTGTTCCCCTACCCCTGACTGCTGGTTGTCCACCCCCCCCGGAAGAAAAAAGCCCTACCTGTATTTAATGACTAGGTTTATATTTGTATTTATTCTAATATATTCAAATAGGTCCTTTTCTTACCCAACAGAACGTGTGTCTTGAGTAGAGATCCTGCCTTCGTTCTTTCATCCCCAGCACCCCACCCAGAGCCTGGCCCAGAGGGGTACTTAATACTTAACTGACGTATGAAAAATAACATGATCCCTGACCTCCAGAAGCTCAGTCTAGTACGTAGAAACCAGATGTGTGCATAAATTATAACTTACATTTATAGAACACTGCAAACTTTATGAAGTACTTTCCTCACAACCATAAGACAGGTATCATTACCCCTACATTCTAGTTGGGGAAACTGAGGCTCAGATTAAGTGGTGATATTGTTGTATGAAGACCCCAGAAGCACAGTAAGCAAGGCCACAGTAATACTGTCAAAGCCTGCCCAGGGTGCTCTCCACTAAGCCACCCATCCTCTCTTAATACTAGCTTAGGTTTACATAGTGCAGGAACCCATAAATAACTAGAATGTAAGAGGGTGTGTGTGTGTGTGTGTGTGTGTGTGTGTGTGTGTGTGTGTGTGTGTGTGTGTGTGTGTGTGTGTGTGTGTGAAGAGAGAGGGACAGGGAGAGGGAGAGAGAGAGAGAGAGAGAGAGAGAGAGAGAGAGAGAGAGAGAGAGAAAGGAGGAAGGAGGTGGGAAGAGAGGGGAGTGAGGGGAAAGAAGGAGAGAAAGAAAGAGAGGAAAAGGAGAGAGAGGAAGAAGAGACAGAGCGAGAGATGTAAGATTCAAGGAGGGCAAAACTCGCTCTCATCTGGGGTATCAAGAAAGAACATTAAGGAGGGAGCAGCACGCCATATTACAGACAGTTCAGTTCTAGACATCATCACAGTTGAGGAAGGATAAGCTAATCTATGAACAAGTATATCCAGGACCTTGACCAGCACTGGGAAAGAACTGGAAATTATACCACATGAGGAGAGATGGACATAAATGAGTTACAGAGCAAACTTCAGGAGGGATGCAGGGAGGGGGGACACACATGTCAGCTGCCTTCAAGCCTGTGATGAGCTGTCATGGAGGAGGGGTCAGAGCTTTCCTGCTTGGTCTCAGAGAGCAGAATGAGGGGCAATGGAAAGTAGCTACAGATGAACAGATTCAAAATCCGCCAAAGAGTTCTGTGGTGCCTCAGGCTTCAGCGCCTGGAAGACTTCAAAAAGAGTCCAGCTGAGCCCTGGGAGGGATGCGGGGAGGGGGACTGGGAGGCAGGCAAGGCCACTGATAGAAATAAGCAAGGAGGAAGGTTTGGTGAAAAAGAGGATAAAAGCTTTGGTCACACTGAGCCTGAGGAGTTAGCAGGATAGCCAGATTTCAGGGTTTCCAACCAGAGGTTGAAAAATGAATGACATTTAAATATTAAATTCTTTTAATTAAAAAAAAATTAGAATCATTTTTCTAAGCTATTCAAATTAGGAGAAAAAGCACACAAGTTTAAGCATTGTCTACTAAAGCTGAAAATGTCCACAGGACAATATTTTTTAAAGTTTACTAAAATATTTGCATATTATAATCCACTGGTAGTTTTGCTAGCAAGATTTAATAATTTGAAATACACTGTCATAAAAAAAGATGTTTGATGCTATCTAAAATTAGAAGAAATATAGATATATACACTTAGACAAACCCATGTATTTAAGACTGATTGTCTTAATATCCAATTTTCTGAGCATCTGGTTCCTTTGCAAAAACTCAATAAACTTGGAGCTGGAAAGGACCTCACAGGCCATAGAGTCCCCCTCCCCACCCCCTTCATTTTACAGACAAGGAAACTGAGGTTAAAAAAGTAAGAGTCACACAGCCAACACACGTCTGAGGAAGGGTCTGAATCCACACCTTCCTGCTACTGAGTCCAGAGCACTAGCCTCTGTTCCATGCTGCCTCCAGTTTATAATTTGAAATTATACAGGGCAACCAGAAGCAGCTAACAAAGTACAGTAAGTCTATACAATGAACAGTAAGAAGGGGAAACACTGAAGGTAGCTACTCCAGGAAAGCTGAGACCTTACCGACATCATAGGAAGAGATTCCAAGGGGACTCACCATACAGACAACCCAGTTTCCCAATCCACATTCAGATTTGGACCAAATACATGGGTGATGTCTAACCTGGTTTAGAGCTCAGCTAAGCACTGAAATTCTGTGCACTGAATGGAACCAGTTACATACTCTCTACAGACAGCTGCAGAACTCTTTATTTGTCTATCTCCAAGAATTGCACGGTATCTTACACACAGTGAAAATGACAAGGTAGAAAGCATTCTAGAAGTCCAATAATCATCTTCCAAAGAAATCTTACCGATTCTGAAAAGACTTGCCAGCAATGTTGTCTCTATATGAATCAAACAGAACATGATACTGGTCCCGGCTCCATTCCAGAACAACCTAAAAAAAAGACAAATTCAATGATTACATCATTATACATTTTCCTGGCATCAAAGGATAATAATAACTGTTATCTCTGCCCCTTCCCCCTACTCCCAAGGGTGCCTGGACCCAAAGGTGATGGGGATGGAAGGCGAGAGGCACTGCTTCCAAAAATACTTTCATAGATCTATCAAACATGATTATCCCTAAAATAACTTCGATCTGTTATGAGCTCCTACCTTTTGCCTTTCTTTTATCTCCTGCACTTAGCATGGTGAGTCGGAGGCACTTCATAAATGCATATTGACCGACAGACTGAAGGGAGTGGGGGGTGACAGAACTCAAGAGCTGCTTCCTTTGTGGGACAGTAACTATTTTCAAAATATGGACTTAAAAATATAATTTGGTGCACTTACACTGATGCTCCTATAAAAATTACAGCCATTGATCAAAAGTATGGCAATGCCCCTAAGTATGGCAATGGTCCAATTACAGAGCCCAGATCCTCAAAGAGTCGAAGCCTTTGCAACAGAACAGAATCTCTTTCAAACACCTCCTTTGTAAAGCAATTTGCAAACTTTAAAACCTTACATAACATGCTAGCTTAAAGGAAAAAAACCCAAAACTTTATTATTCCTAATAATAACCCTAAAAACAACCCTTCCCCATAAGCCACTGGGCCTGGTGTCTCTAAGACTATGCCAGGAGAGCATAAGCTTGGGCCAGCTGGGAAAAGCAGCAGAGGCTTCAATAAGGAGAAAGGCAAAGGATTGGGGTGCCCACTGTGGGCCACGTCCTGTGCTAGGGCCTGGGGTACAAATACAGAGAATGATATAACCCTTCCTCCCAGCAAGCTTACATTCTAATGGAGACAAGTACATCTGAAAACACAGACTGCATAACGCTAAACTGAATAAGCACAAATATATATAAACATAAGGTACTATGGCATGGAAGGAGAAGCTAAGAAGATCAGGGAAGGCTTCACACTGAACTCTGTGCTCAAACTGGTCTTAAAGCAGAGGGGAACTCTCCAGGTGAAGAGGAGAAGGGAGGACACTCCGTCCACGTGGGATGTCTGGTGTAGAAGTATGGTTTGTGGTCTGTGAGTGTGCTGAACAGAGGGAAGACTAAATATGGAGAGAATGGCCTCTGGCCTGCAGCCCCCTGTCTGTGCTGCTGGCTAACAATCTTAATAGACTCTACACCTGCTGCGGGCAGAGACCATGCATTACCTAAACCATTTCCTCTTCCCGTGTACACACAACAGGTGCTAAATGAATGTCTGTTTGTCTTGTTTTCCAATTCTTTCATACGTGGAACACTGATCTACCCCTACAACTGTACGTTTCTGAAGAAAAAAAAGGCCTAACTATTCATCTTTTACCAAACATGTCAACAGACAGAGGTCTGCCTCACACTTGCCTTTCTTACACATATACACAGAGACATATACCTACTACACATATGAAGATGCAGCCTGGCAAGAGAAATCTGGGCTCCAATCCTGCTTCTGCCCCCACTACTGACACATTCGCTGAGTGACTCTGGGCAAGTCACTTAACTTCTCAGCACCTCAGTCAACTCTCTAAGACTAGAAATTGTAAAGAAGGTACAGATCTGCTTTGGTAGAGGAAGTTTACTCATCTGGCACTTCCCATATCAATTAATTCACAGGTCCAGGCCCTAACACACACACACACACACACACACACACACACACACACACGTGCGCACACACACACATGCACGTGTGCTATATCTGGTACTATGCTTGTTTTTAATTAATTTTTTAATTCAATAATTTTAATAATTTAATGATTTTTATTTTTAATTAATTTATTAAGCACCAATAATATAAGAGGCACTGCCAATCATAAGACCATCCCTGCCCTCAAGGACACACGTGCCAACTCCCTGAATCATTTCTTTCATCAGATAAATTCATCTGAAGGTCTTCAAACTGCTTCCATTATACACATGAACAAAACCAGCAAATGAGAAGTTGACCTTATTCAACACATTCACAAATATTCTGGAGACTGTCATACCAAGTCCCAGGGGGATTCCTTGGGGATTGCAACACACTATCTATCTCCCTGAAGGTTTGCTTTCTTCTTTCCTGCATGCCACAGCTTTATTTCTCTCTCCATCCTTTCAGTTTAGCCCTAACTCTCAGTCTTCTAAGAGTTAATTTTTTAATTAACACTAATTTTTGTAACAGACTAAAGTGGGGTTCAGCAAATTTGGTTTGGATCTAGAAATAAGTCAAAAGTATGTAGGCACCAGATGAAAAGTCTTCAGCTGAAACAAAGGGCAGCCTGGGATGAGGGTTGAGTTCCCACAATCAAGGTGCAACCCACATTTACCTCATTGAGGGTTTGCAGAAAGCTCTAAAAGGAAAACTCATTTTCAAACATTCAACAAAAGGGAGCTAAGCACATGAGTATTTCCTGTACCGAGGGGCCGATCTTCACCAAACTGCTCTCCTAAACACGCTGCCATCTATCTCCTGCCCCCATCTCCAGCCACTTGTCACTCGTCTGCTGCTTTCAGGGAAGATAAATATTAGGCATCCATGAAGAGACCGCCATGGTGAGCTGGAGCCCAGGATTCCTCCGGCTCTGGACTACCAAACCACATACACAGTATCTAATGGAATGAATCACAGACTCGGAGCACTCTAAGGGACCTCAGAGACAAGCAATCTCACCCCTGACCAAGAATCCTCTCCTCTTCCACTAAGTCTAGAAACTGTCTAAAACAGAAATAAAGTTAGTCCAGCAAGGCCTGTTCTTTTTTTAAAAAAATTATTATTATTTTTAATATTCTTTTCTTTTTAAATTTTGAGTTCCAAATTCTCTCCCTCCCTCCCACCCCCTCTCCCAAACATTGAGAAGGCAAGCAATATAGTATCAATTATACATGTGAAATCATACAAAACATATTTCCATAATAGCCATATTGCAAAAACAAATAAATGAATAAGGGAAAAATAATTAAGAGAACATGATACTTCAGTTTGCATTCAGAGTTCACCAGTTCTCTCTTGGATCACTGTATTGATCAGAGCAGTCAAGTCTTTCAGACCTGATCATACAATGATCTCCAGGTTCTTCTCACTTCATTTTGCATCAGTTCATATAGGTCTTGCCATGCTTTTCTGAAATCACCTCCCTTATCATTTCACGTAGCACAATGTTGCTCTAACACAATCATATGCCAGCCATTCCCCAACTAATGGGCATCCCCTCAATTTCCAATTCTTTGACACCACAAAAAGCGCTGCTGTAAATACATCTGCACAGATATAGATGCTTTTCCTTTTTGGTTTTTTATCTCTTGGAGATATAGACCTAGAGGTGGTACTGCTGGATCAAAGGGTTTTCACAGTTCATAGCCCCTTTGGCCACAGTTCCAAATTGTTCTCCAGAACAGCTGGACCAGTTCACTTGTCCACTAACAGCTCACTAGTGGACCTATTTTCCCTCATCCTCTCCAGCATTTGTCATTTCTAATAAGTGTGAGGTGGTACCTCAGAGCTATTTTAATTTGCCTCTCTAATCAATGGTGATTTAGAGAATTTTTTCATATGATTTCAGGTAGTTTTAATTTGTTCTTCTGAAACCTGCCTGCTTAATATTCTTTAACCATTTATCGATTGGGGAATGGCTCTTATTTTTTTAAATTTGACTCAATTATCTATATATTTGAGAAATAAGGCCTTTATCAGAGAAATTTGCTATAAAATTTTTTGATATTTCTTCACTGTCTTTGGTACCTTTTAGCAAACTGTAGCTTCCTGGATTCTCTTTTAATTAGTTCTATTTTTGCTTTATCTGAAATTATGATTGCTACCCCTGACTTTTTTACTTCAGCTGAAGCACATTAGAGTCTGTCCAGCCCTTTATTTTAATTCTGTGTGTATTTCTGTTCCAAGTGCCTCTTGTAAACAACATAGTGTTAGATTCTGGTTTCTAATCCATTCTGCTCTCTGCTTCTATTTTATGGATAAGCTCATGCCATTCACAGTTACGATTACTAACTGGGCTATTTCCCTCAATCTCACTTCCTTGTTTATCCTTTTCCCTCTCTTTTTGTTCTGTCCCTCTTCAAAAGTCTATTTTACTTCTAACCACTGCCTCCCTTAATTCATCCTTCCTTTTATCATCTCCTCCTCCCACTTCACTTCTCCCTTGCCCTCCTATTTCACTACAGGGTAAGATAGATTTCTATACATAACTGAGTGTGTGAGTGTGTGTGTGTGTGTGTGTGTGCGCGCGTGTATTCTTCCCTCTTCAAACCAATTCCCATGAGAGTGAGGTTCAAGCATTGTGTACCTCCCCTCTCCATTTTCCTCTCCACTGTAAAAGCTCTTCCTTGTATGACCAGCAAGGCCTGTTCTTTTGTTTTGGCTAGGCAATGGGGTTAAGTGACTTGGCCAGGGTCACACAGCTAGTAAGTGTCAATTGTCTGAGGCTGGCTTTGAACTCAGGTCCTCCTGACTCCAAGGCCGGAGCTCTATCCACTGCACCACCTAGCTGCCCCGCAAAGCCTGTTCTTGACAAGGTCACACTAGCCCATGGTGACATGCCATATCCTCTTCTAGATGTTCACCATGACCACCTCTAATTGGCAGGCCCACTTTCAGAACGTCAGCAGGATACTTGCCGTTTTCTACTTCTGTGGTATCTCTCCTGTTCTCCACAGTAGTCAAAGCTGGAAGTGACTTCAGAAATCACAACTGCCTTTCCTTCCAGTACCCTAAGATGTAGCTTATCTGGGCCCAACGGCTTGAACTGCTGAACAAAAGCCAGGAGCGACCTCAGTTATCTAGGGTATAACCCCCTTCTTAGACATTTTTGGTTTGTTCCTTTGGCCCCAAATCCATTCTCCTTGGCAAAGAAAACAAACGCTATTAAGAATGGAGCAGCTCAAACTAGGAGAACATTGTACCCAGTAGCAGCAACATTGTGCGATGACCAACTTGGACGGACTTTGCTCTCCCAGCAAGACAA